TTTCGGCGTGCGCGCGCGAAGAAAAAACGAATGTGTCCCGCATGGTATTATTTGACAGGGATGATGGCCCTGGCAGGTGCGCAACCGTTGTCGCAGAAGTTCGAAAAAGTTGCTCGCAAAAGCCCGTTTGACAGAAATGTTTAAAAAGTGTTGGGTTTCCTACGAATCCGCAAGAGCGCGCGGGATGAGATTTTGACATTTTTTTGTTGAAAAACCATTGGTTTTTTGATGTTTTTATGTTAAAATCGCTGCGAACACTAAGGTTTTGGAAGGATTTCGTCTTGCGCGCGCGAATGTCCACTTTACCTTATTTTTTGCAAGGGATTCTTGAAATTTGATTATATTAGAACAAGAAATGTCATTTTCTATTGTTTTTTGCAAGGGAAAGCGGATTACAACAAAACAACCGGATCCTGTACACACCCTCTTTTCTGAGGCTTCCTCACGAAAATGATGAAAATGTAGCTGCGGCCTAGGCGGCGCAGGGGGGGCGCGCACCAGGGGGCCCAACAATAATTATTCTTTAGAATAAATAATGTTCAACAACAACCACAACCACAACCACAACAACAACGACGACGACGACGACGAGGAGCAGCAACAACCGCAGCAGCACCAGCAGCAACACAAACGATAGCAGCAGTGGCAACAAAAGCAACATCAACAACAAAAAGCACCATCAACAACCATAACCACAACAACAACATCAGCAACAATACAAACGATAGCAGCAGTGGCAACAACAGCAGCCGCAACAGCATCAACCACAACAACAACAGCAGCAACAACAACACCATCCTCAACATCATGATCATCAGCATCCTCGTCATCATCACAAACACAACGCGCCGACGGCGAAGCGCCGACGGCGAAGCAGGTGTTCGAACGAGCACGGGCCCAGAGCGATGCTCAGCATCTCGCGGCCCATGATATGGTTATCCCCTCTGGGCTGGAAAGCCGCTCAGATCCTGGCGAACGCTTATGCGCGCTGCGCGAGCAAACTGTCGCTGTCCTGCCCCGCCGTTCCTGGCGGCTGGTGGCACGCACGTCCAGTAGCATTTATCGCCAATGAAAAATACGGCGGCCGCCATGGGCGGGCGACCAGCCGCGTCGCAGAAGAGGTGCGCCACGGGGCCCGCCGCTTCACCGCGCCATTTTCGCGACTGCGCCAACTCGCCGCCGAGCGCGGTCAGCCACCACCGCAACGCGAGTCGCAGCTCTTGCCGCATGTCGGGGAAACTACGATGCGCCTAAGCGAAGATCGGCCTGCCGCGGCGGGAGGCGGGAACGCGGCGAGCGGGTGCGTCAGCGGAACGCGATATTGAACGCACGCCCGAGCATGGCTCGCACCGCGCGATTGAACCTATCTCCTGGGGCCCAGGCCAGCGCGCCCGCCAGCTCGCCGGGATCACCTGGCCGCGCGCGCCACGACGTCGCGCGACGGGGGGGGGGCCGAGGCCCACGCCTGCGCGCAGAGTGCCCGAGTCGAGCGCCGCCTGGATGCGGGCCGTCCGCTTGGCGATCCTCTCAGGCAGCGGCACGCGCGCCATCCCCTCCGATGAGAGGTCGGCGCGAAGTCCCAGGATACCGAGCGGGACTCCGCAGGAAACCTTTTCGTCAGCCAGCCCGGCGGACTGGCCCGATAAACATCTCAGGGCGCGCGTGATGCAATCCAAGGTGTTCGACCTACCTCGCGGCAAATATATGCAGCCGATCATCTGGCCCGCGGGCCGCCTTTCGCCTCAGCCTATCCCTCGAGGCCGAACACATCGCCCACGCCACGAAGTAACTCCACGTGGAGTACACTGCGGAGCATCGCGCAGATGAGGGCGCCAATGCGTTCCCAACCATGCACGCTTGCGACTGCGCAGGAGTTAGGCGGGGCACAGCGCGTGCCAGGAGCGGTCGGCGCGCCTGCCTCGAATGGGCACGCGCAGTGAGCACGCGCCGTAACCTCATCCTCGCATCGGAAGATGACACGAATCAAATCCCGATGCTCCAGTCGCAACGGGATCCACCGGAAGGGGCCGTCGATGATGCCTGCAACCCCGGCGCGCGCGCCTCTTGCGCACTCGCGGCGCAGCGGCCACCTCGCCAGTCAACAGTTTGCAGAGCGCGCACAAGTGATCAATCGCATCGCGCCGCAAACGCCCACGCGGACTTGGCCTTCGCGATTTCGGCCGCCAGCCAGTCGCATTTCTCGCTCCTGTCGCTCTGCAACATTCGCGGCCACCGCCGCTGGCGCGCGCGCGCGAGAGCCGCGCATCGGGCAGATCGTCTGGCCGAGCCCGTTCAGCAAAACCGTCGCAAGCACTGCGCCCGCATCGACGCGGCGCACGGGGGCGGCCATTTCCACGCCAGCCTCAGCCCCAACACGAACATGCGGGCACTGGGACGCACCGGGCGCGCACGCGCGACCACCTGTTTGCCCGCCGTCGCGGCGCGCTCCAAGGCGCGACGAAGTACACCCCTCAGAGCCGCCGACAGGTTCCCTGAGCCAGTCAGCTCATCGATGCGAATGTTCGCCATCTGCGCCGGCGTCTTCAATTTATTCGCCCCGAAGCAATCCGCGGCGGGCATATATTCGACATCCCCCCAGTCCGCCCCGAACTCGAGGCCCTGTCGCAGGACGCACGGCATCGCGCTGTCGGCCAAGATAACAAAGAATCGATGGCGAAGAATCGCAAGTCTCACTCGGGAGAAAGCCGGCGCCGCAGCCACCCGCACGCGCAGCAACTGGAGCGCAGCACTGCAGACCGCCTGCCGCGTGCAACCTCTTACCAGGCGCGCTGACCCCCCGAGCACCCTATAGCGAAAGAGGCCACCGAGGCCACAGACGCAACTCCAAAGTCCGCATAGGACCAAAAGAGCGCAAGCGAGCTCCCGACGCGGGCACCCGTGGAGCCCCGCGGCCGGCCATAATAGGCACCCTCGAGAACGCCGAGACCCCTTTGGTCCGGCCCTCCCTTCTCAATTGGATTGACGCAACGGCGCGCAGGTCGCTCAGGCAGGACCATCGGGGAGTGCCCCATCTGGGCATTATACTATCACCATATTTCCTCATGACTGTCTCCCACGTCCCCACTGAGACTTCTCCGAAGTCTCCACGACTAATGACCCTGCGGGGCCGCGCCCCTCGTCCTCTGCGGGGCTCCGACGGAAGCGCCAAGGTCACACTGGCCGCTCTGGGCGCGGCATGAACGCCAAGACCCCTGAAGGCCGACCCCAAAAATCCTCAACGGGGCTGAGAGACCCCGCGTCAGTCACCATGGACCCGCGGAAGAAGCCCCGAAGGGCACTTTGGTCACACTGGACCAGCACAGGAAGCCACTCTGGGCACGGCAGCAACGCCAAGACCCCTCAGGGCCGATCACAAAATCCTCTATGGGACTTGAACAACCGCGCGTAAGTCACTCTCGACCCGCGGAAAAAGCCCCGATGGGCACACAGGTCACACTGGACCAGCGTAGGAGACCACTCTGGGCACGGTAACAAGGCCAAGACCCCTCAGGGCCGATCCCAAATTCCTCTACAGGACAGGGACGACGTCGCGAAGGCCACACTGGACCCGCGGAAGAGGCTCCGATGAAACCTGGGGCACACTGGACCCGCGGGTAAGTCCCTGAATCCCCAGCGAAAAGGGCCACACTGGGCCGGAAAACGAGCAGCGACCGCGGTCGCACACTGGCGAACGGACGCGCCGCGCGTCGCCCCAGGGGTGGTCCGAAGCGGCGCTGTGGCAGGCAGTGGACAACACCCTGGCCAGCCTCCCCACCTCAGAGTGCACACTAGGCAGGTGGGGCGCTGCAGACATGACCGGGTACTTGGTATCCCGCCCCGCGGCCAGGCGGCAGGAAGGAGACATTTCGACCGTCCTCGGAGGAACAGAGGGAGAAAGGACACCGACGCACGGCCGCGCGGCACGCCAGCATGCCTGCGCAGGGCCTGGCCCGCCCGACGGAGCGGCAGCGCGCGACGGTTGGTAATGCGGGCGCCCGCCATCGCGCAGTGCGCCAACGGCGGGACACTCCCGCCTGGGGGCGTCGACCTATGACTTGCAATAACAAGATATCGTCGCCCCATCATCATCATCATCATCATCATCATCATCATCATCATCATCATCATCATCATCATCATCATCATCATCATCATCATCATCATCATCATCTTCATCATCTTCAACATCATCATCATCATCATCACCACCACCACCACCACCACCATCATCATCATCATCATCAGCAGCAGCATCATCACCACCACCACCACCACCATCATCATCATCATCATCATCATCATCATCCTCATCAGCATCAGTATCAGCATCAGTATCATCATCATCATCATCATCAGCAGCAGCATCACCATCACCATCACCATCACCATAGCATCATCATCAGCAGCATCATCATCAGCATCAGCATCAGCACCATAATCAGCATCATCATCATCATCCTCATCGTCGTCATCCTCATCATCACCACCATCATCATCATCATCATCAGCATCATCACAATACTCATCATCACCATCACCATCACCGTCAGCACCACCATCATCACCATCATCATCGTCATCCGCATCATCAACCGCAACATCCTCATTATTCTCACCACCACCACCACGATGACCATCAGCATCATCATCATCATCATCATCATCAGCATAATCATCATCATCATCATCATCATCATCATCATCATCATCATCATCATCATCATCATCGCCACCACCATCGTCATCGTCATCATAATCATCATCTCCACGTTTAGCATCTTCACCGCTACCATCACCATCACGATCAACATCATCGTCAGCATCATCAGCATCATCAGCATCATCATCATCATCATCATCATCATCATCATCATCATCATCATCATAATCATAATCCACCTGCTCCTCCTCCTCCTCCTCCACCTACTCATCCTCGAGGGGGCGGGGGCCTTCGAGAGGCCCTCCTTCATGGCGGGGTCCTCTGGCGCTAGCTTGAGACCCGCCTCGGCCAGGGCAGCGGGGAGGGACGTCGACGACAGCGGCAACGTTAACGTCGACGACGGCGACGGCGGCGACGGCGGCGACGGCGACTACGGCAACGAAGACGACGAACATCGAGGACGAGGACGACGAGGACGACGAGGACGACGACGACGACGAATACCACGACGACGACGACAACGACGACGACGGCAGCAAAAGCAAGACAAAAACAAAAAGCAACACACACTCACACACACACCCACACACAAAATGATGTGCACACACATATAAAGATACATATACATGTAGATATATGCATACATGCAAATACACATCTATCCAAAAGTGAAAGCAAGGAAGGGCGCGCGCCCTGGTGCAAGGCACCAGGCGAGCACGGGGAGGTTCTCGTAGGCCTTCGAGGGGCTTTCTGTGGATCTCTCGGGCCGACTCTCGGGCGCTTTCGGGGGCCTCCGGTGGCTTTCGGACGCCTCCCTCCAGCAGGGAGGTGCTCGTGATGGGAGCCGAGCGGGAGGCCTGGCTCGTCTGGGGGACCCTCGGCCTGGCAGCGACGACACGTCGCAAACACATCGCCGATAGGCCCCTGGCTGCGAGAAGGCCCGATGAATGGACGCGCCGCACGCTCCTGCCGGCGTCCCTGGCAGGCTGGGTCGCCGGAAGAGCTCCAGCCTTTGGAGGAGACGAAAACGGGGACCATGACCAAGACTGAACGTGGAAACATCGTACCGATCTTGGTCACCGTCCATCTTGGTCAGCGGTAACTCGTGGACCATCCTCGCGATTCGGCGACGGCCGGCATGGACCATGACCAAGATCGGCGTCGACAAGATCCCACGACATCCTGGTCATGGTCAGCATGTTTCCTCCCTCCAGTCTGGGACAGCCTGGCGGCGCCACGTCTCCCAGAGGCCCAACGTTGGCGCGGGGACGCCGACGCTGCAGACAGGGTAGACCAAAGCGCGATCCGAGAGGTCCTCTATCCCAGAAAACATGCAGCGATGGCCGCTGCCGAGAGCGTCAAGCACAGCACGTGGACCGCTTTGCAGCAGTGTAGCTCGTTCCACGATGTCGGGCGAGCACTTTTACCCGTGGCCATGCCAGGCGCGAAGGGGGGAAGGGGGGGGCTAGAACGGAACGCCCCCCCCCCCGCCAACCTAGACTTGCAGCGAGGTGAGGTGGCGGCATAGAGCGGAGCCGTGCTGTGGAAAGAAGGCTTCGTGGGCCAGGCAATCCGCCCAGACCTCCGAGAGCTGCTCTGCCCGTGCCGCTGTCTGCTCTTCGGCCGCAGAAGTGACCAGCGAGGCCGTCGCGCGTACGCAGCGAAGCCGCATCATGTTTTGGCGGCGCGCACAACGGGGTATGGGGAGGGGGGAAGGCTTCTTGGTAGAAGGAGGCCGGAACCGCATCCGATCGGCCGCGCCAGGACGCTCAACAGCGCCATGCAGGCGTCGGGCCGATTCGGACCGAGCGACCATCGGAACCGAATCGGGCCGGCTAGAATCGGTACAGCCGGACCAAAGATAGAAGAACCTCCTTCAAGAACATGAGACCCTCCGCTGGCCAAAACAGGCAGAATATTCCAAGGGTACCATGCCCAGGATGCATCAGAATATCCACCGAGCACGAAGAAAATGGGGGTACCCTCCCCAGATCAACCTCGATCTTATACCTCGGTCCGACGGTGTCTGAGTACCTACCGGATCACCCCAGCCCAACCCGAAGACCCGAATTTCGGGTTGGGGGGGTACGGGCTTCACCCGACTCCCCACTCACACACACACACACACACTGAAAATGGAGAGCAGATCGGGGCCTTCGGGTTGGGTTGGGGTGGGTTGGGTTGGGGCGGTGAGTATCGAGTCGGAGAGATCGGATCGAAGTGGGCCCTGCGCGGGAGAGAGGGACGGAGCAGAAGGGTGGCGGCGTGGGCCCACGGAGGTCTGCCCGAGTCCACAGCTCTCCGGTGGGTGCGCTCCGGCCAGGATCTCGAGGCGGGCGCAGCCGTTGCGACAAGGGTCCTCAGGTCACGTCAGTGCGCCGTGCATCCTGTGGACGCGCAGGCAGAAGAGCACTTACAAAGTTATGGTGGTGCGCTGAACGCGCCCCTTATGCAGTCAAAGCAGTCCGTCAAACGCGCTGCAACAGTGAAGAAAATATGATGGGATATCACATACGTAAAGGACTCACATATGACAATGTTCATGACAAGGACCCTCGGGGAGGCCCAAAAGCGACAACAATAACAAGTGCAGTGATCGCTGCGACTTGAGACAGTTGCAAGGTGGTTGCATGCCACCTGCAAGGCACTTGCACGTGGATTGCAAGCCCGCCCAGCTGCTCCAAATTGGATCCGCGACTTACTCAGTCTTGGAGCAGTTGTTGCAACCATTTTGCAAATGTTGCAGCTGTTGCAAGTCGAACCGACACTGCAGATCACCAAAAAAACAATCCTCGAACCTCGATCTGACGACGCTCGTCGGCGCGCGTGATTGGCAGGGCCGCCTTGTAAGTCTCCGCGGACTCATCGTACTTCCTGAGGAAGAACTCCGCGAGACCCTGCCCGGTGCCGCTTGTGTTATCCGCCGCCATGCAATAAGCACTCAGTGCAGCGTCCTCAGGTCATCTGGTGGCAACTCATGAGAGCCTCATATACTATCTTGCTGGCTCTTGCGAATAAACACGAATTGACGCTCATCGACGCTACATCGATGCTGAATCCGCCGACCCTGTCGGCATGTGTGAGACGCTCTTCCGTTCGTCGTCGTCGTCGGCGTCGGAGTCGGCGTCGTCGTCGTCGTCGGGGGGGGGGTCCCAGGGGGGGTCCCGGGGAGAGGTCCCAGGGGGGGTCCCGGGAGGGGTCCCGGGGGTCGTGACCCCTTGCCCGGGCGGTCCCCCCTGTGGAGAAGGAGGCAGGTGGTCTCCAGCTGGCAAGAGAGCTCCCCAGGCCTCCGGCCCTGGCTCCAGCCCCAGCCCCCAGCCCCAGCCCCGGCCCCGGCCCCGGCCCCGGTCCCAGCCCCAGCCGCAGCCCCGGCCTCGGGCCCGGGCACCGGCCCCCACCCGGGCTCCAGATCCAGCCCCCACCCTGGTCTGGGCCCCAGCCCTGGCCCCAGCCTCTGCCCTGGCCCAGGCCCGAGCCCCAGCTCTGGCCCCAAACGCAGCCCCAGCCCCAGCCCGCCCCACCCAAGAAAAGACAGACGGCTCTCCTCCTCTTCCTCCATTTCCTCATCCTCCTCTTCTTAGTTTCTTATTATTATGTTTCTTAGTATTAGTATTCATAGTATATTCTTGTTATGACTACTATTATTATTATTATCATTATTATTATTATTATTATTATTATTATTATTATTATTATTAATAATAACATTATTACGATGATTATTATTAATAATAGTATTATTAGTATTATTGATATTACTACTACGATTATTATTGTTAATATCATTATTATTATTATAACTATTATTATTAATATTATTATTTTTATTATCATCATCATCATCATCATTATTATTATCATTGTGTTGATTCCTCTTATCCGTCTTACTATTCGTCTTCTTATGATTATGGTCATCACTATTTTTACTAATATTATTATCTAATACTAGTAATGTTATTAATAATAGTATTATTATGGAAATTATTATTATGATTATCCGTGTGGCTATTATTAATACTATTATTATGAATAGTACTATTACTAGTATTGTTCTTGTTGTGACTATTATGTTTATTAGTATGTGTCTGATTCTTCTTATTATCAGTACTAATCTTCTTATTACTATTATTATGTTCCCTCTTCTTATGATTATTCGTATGACTATTATTCGTACTAGGCTTCTTATTATTCTTCTTCTTCGTCTTCATAGTCTTATTATTCCTCGTATTTTTCTTGCTAATATTCGCGTTACTATCATTAGTCTTGTTATTCGTATTCGTCATAGCTGTTTCGTACGATTATTCTTCTAAATCGTATTAGTTTTCTTATTATTATTCGTAATATGCTTATTATATTATGGTTCGTATTCTTCTTCTTGCGATTAATATACGTATTCGAATTACTGCGGTTATTATTATTCATATTCGACATATGCTTCTTATTATCATTAGTATTATCATTAGTATTCGTATTCTTCGTAATACCATTATTGTTATTACTATTCCGCCTCCGCAAATTATTAGTATGCTTATTCTTAGTGTTACTAGTATGCGTCCCCATTGTATTGTTATTCGTAATAGTATTCATAGTGTTGTTAGTATTGTATTTCTTCTGATTCGTTCTATTACTAACATCCTTATGCGCCTTATTATTGGTATTATTCTTGTCATTCGTATTATTATTAATAGTACTCTTCTTACTGTATTCATGTTCTTATTGGTCTCCAAATCCTTCATTTATTATTATTAGCATTCGCATTGTTATTCGTATTCGTCTTAGTCTTATTAGTAGTATTATTATGCTTACTAGTAATACTATTATTCGTCATAGTATTACGATTATGAAGTGTTAGTATTATCCGTCATGCTAGCACTTTTCTTATTACTATTTTTGATGGTATCATTCTTTTTATTACTGTTATGAATATTATTCTTCTCACTATTAGTTTTATTTGTCGTTGTTTATCAACCTTAGTGTGATTATGGGTAGTAAAAAGGTTATTAGTATTAGTAATATCATTAATACGATTATCATTATGTATATGAGTAGTCGTTTTCCTCTTCCTCCTCCTCCTCGTCATCTTCTTAGTGTTCGTGTTAGTGGTCATTACCTTCTTCCTCTTACTACTGATAGTATGACTATACTTTTGATGATTGTTCATATTCTTATTACTAATATGTTTCTTATTGTTCGTCGTATTATTCGTATTCTGCTAGATCGACTGGATTCCTCTTCTACTCCCTCTTCTTTCTCCTATGGTTCCTCTTCCTCTTCCTCCTCCTCGTCCTCCTCCTCCTCCTCCTCCTCCTCCTCCTCTTCCTCCTCCTCATCCTCCTCCTCCTCCACCTCCTCCTCCTCATTTCCGCCTCCGCCTCCGCCTCCGCCCCCGCCTCCTCCTCGTCTTCCTTCCTCCTCCTCCTCCTCCTCCTCCACCGCTTCCGCCTCCTCCGCCTCCTCCGCCTCCGCCTCCGCCTCCGCACCCGTACCCACCTCCGCCTCCGCCTCCGCCTCCGCCACCTCCGCCTCCTCCTCCTCCTCCTCCTCTTCCTCCTCCTCCTCCTCCTCCCTCCTCCTCCTCCTCCTCCTCCTCCTCCTCCTCCTCCTCCTCCTCCTCCTCCTCCTCCTCCTCTCCCTCCTCCTCCCTCCTCCTCCTCCTCTCCTCCTCCTCCTCCTCCTCCTCCTCCTGCCCATCCTCCTCGTCTCCTCCTGTTCCTCCTCATCCTCCTCCTCCTTCTCCTCCTCCTCCTCCTCATCCTGATCCTCCTCATCATCCTCCTCCTCATCCTCCTCCTCCTCCTCCTCCTCCTCCACCTGTTCGTCATCCTCCTCGTCGTCGTCCTCCTCCTCATCCTCCGCCTCCTCCCCCTCCACCTCCTCCTCCTCCTCATCATCATCATCATCCAAAGCATCATTATTAGTAGTATGATTACTTATGTTTTCTTAGTATAGTATTATTGTTATTAGTATTAGTATGAGTAGTATTATTATTATGATTATTATTATTATTAGTATTATTCTTATTATTATTATTTTATTTATATTATTTTATGCTTATTATTATTATTGATATTATTATGATTATTATTATTATCATTATCAGTATTAGTATTATCAGTATTGTTATTCGTATTATTATTATCATTATTATTAGTATTAGTATTATTAGTAGTAGTAGTAGTAGTAGTAGTATTAATAATAATATTAGTATTAGTATTATTACTAGTAATATTATTATTGTTTATTGTGATTATTTTTATTGATATCAGCATTAGTATTAGTATTATTATTGTTATTATTATTAATATTAGTATTAGTAGTCGTAGTAGTAGTACTATTATTATTAATATTATTATTAGTATTAGTAGTAGTAGTATTAGTAGTAGTAGTAGTAGTACTAGTATCACTAGTAGTTTTATTATTATTAATAGTAGTATTATTATTATTTGTATTATTATCAGTATTACTACTAGTATTAGTTTTGTGAGTATTATTAGTAGTAGTAGTAGTAGTAGTAGTAGTAGTCGCGTGCTTATTATTATTAGTATTAGTATGATTAATATTAGTATTAGTATGGGAATTATTCTTATGAGTACTACTAATATTATTATGTTTATTAGTGCTCGTATTGTTATTAGTAGTAGTAGCAGTATTGTTAGTATGATGATTGGTATTACTATTACTAGTACTAAGATCATTACTATTATTATCATTCGTATTCTCTTTTTCCTTCATCATTATCACCGTCAACATCATCATCAGCAGCAGCATCATCATCATCAGCAGCAGCATCATAACAACCACCATCACCATCATCATCATCATCATTATCAGCATCAACATCAGCCTCATCAGCAACATCATCAGCATACGATTATGCTTATTACTACGATTGCTCCTATTAGTGTTAGTAGTCTTAGGAGTACCATTAGTGTTAGTATTATTATTCGTCGTCTTCTTCTTGTGAATATTATTGTTGTTATTGGTCGTATGAATATTCGCATTCTAAATAACATTATTATTATTCTTAACACTATTAGTTTTACGATTCTTAATTCTCGAACTATTAATATAATTCCCAATGTTCGTATTAACATTAGTAGTATTACTATTGATACTAGTTGTATTATTCGTGCCCTGCTTCTTAATATAATTCGTATTATTATTGGCTGCATTCTTATGGTATGCATATGCTGAGCAGAATGATTATTCTTGTTATTAATACTATTAGCCGTACTCCTATTATCCTTATCAGTAGTATTCGTATTATTATTATTAGTAGTAGTCTTGTTTTGAGTCTTATTGCTATCTTCTTATTCTCCGTATTATTAATGTATTAGTAAGAGTATGATATCACAAGGGGGCCGGCGGATTAGTATGATTCTTCTTGGTCGTAGGATTATTATTCGTATGAGTAGTAGTAGTAGTAGTAGCAGTACTCTTCTTTTTCATAGTATTATTACTATTATTATTATCATTATTCGTCTTACTAATCGCCATACTATTATTATTGTTCTTCTGATTAGTCGTATTAGCCTTCATATTTGTATTATTCATGTTCTTCTTCTTATCATTACAATTATCATTAGTGCCCCGTATTCTTCATATTATTGTTATTATTCGTCTGATTATTCTGACTCGTCTTATTATCATTAGTATGTTTCGTTTTTCTTCTTCATCATCATCATCATCGTCATCATCGTCATCATCATGATCACCATCACCATCATCACCATCAGCAGCAGCAGCATCATCAGCAGCAGCATCATCATCAGCATCATCATCATTATTATCATCATCATCTGCAGCATCAGCATCAGCATCATCATCAGCAGCAGCAACA